CTGCTGTCCCAACCCGCCTCTCCTGGGCTCCGAACCGACCTCGACCCACCGCGCCCCGGGCTGCGGGCCACGGTCCCGGCCGGGGCCCTCTGGACACCGGAGCCCGAGCCCCGAGCGAGCATTCAAAGGCGTCCGGGGAGCTGTACCCAGGCCCGGGCCCCGGGTTCTGCCAAGCCGGCCGGAGCTCCGGAGAAGTATTTGGATCTGGGTCCCAAGGGGGAGCAGCCTTGTGCTCTGCGGAGAGGCCCGAGGTCGGGGCCGGGGTCGAGGTCGGGAGGAGAGGCCCCGAGTCGGGGCTGGGGTCGGGAGGGGAGGGTCGGGGTCAGGAGGGGAAGGGAGGGCCGCAGCCGGGGTCGGGGCCGCAGCCGGGGTCGGGAGGGGAGGACCGGGGTCGGGGTTTGGGACTGGGGTAGGGAGGGGAGGGCCGGGGTCCGTGGGGGAGAGCTGGGCCGGGCCGGTGCCCCGAGCCCACCGGGTCACCTCTCCTTCCCCCCCAGGCCGCTGCAGACAGGCTCCTGAGTTCCGTGCCATGAGGGCTCTCTGGGCCGTCTCCCTGGCCGTGGCTGCAGGCCTGGCCTCCGCCAGGCCCCCTAACATTGTGCTGATCTTTGCTGATGACCTCGGCTATGGGGACCTGGGCTCCTACGGGCACCCTAGCTCCACCACCCCCAACCTGGACCAGATGGCTGCCGGAGGGCTGCGGTTCACAGATTTCTACGTCCCCGCGTCTCTGTGCACACCGTCCCGGTGAGTGGGGGCCTCTCATCCCTCTCCACTTGTCCAGTTCCTTCCAGAGGCTCTGGGGTGGAGGAAGGGACCCATCTCCATGGGGAGGTCCGCGTCTGCTTGTTGCTGTGGGACTCGACATCCTGTACCTTGTCCTCCAGGGCTGCCCTCCTGACCGGCCGGCTACCTGTTCGGATGGGCATGTACCCAGGCGTCCTGGGGCCCAGCTCCCAGGGCGGCCTGCCCCTCGAGGAGGTGACTCTGGCCGAGGTCTTGGCTGCCCAAGGCTACCTTACAGGGATGGCCGGCAAGTGGCACCTTGGAGTGGGGCCAGACGGGGCCTTTCTGCCCCCTCATCAGGGTTTCCACCGCTTCCTGGGCATTCCATATTCCCACGACCAGGTATAAACCACCAGGGCCCCTCAACACCTGACCAGCCCCGCCCTGGAGCCCAGACTCCGCACTGCAGTGCCCTTCCTCTCCTCAGGGTCCCTGTCAGAACCTGACCTGCTTCCCACCAGACACCCCGTGCCATGGCAGCTGTGACCAGGACCTAGTGGCCATCCCCCTGCTGGCCAACCTGTCTGTGGAGGCGCAGCCCCCCTGGCTGCCAGGACTAGAGGCCCGCTATGTGGCTTTCTCCCGAGACCTGATGTCTGATGCTCAGCGCCAGGGCCGCCCGTTCTTCCTGTACTACGCCTCCCACGTGAGTGACCTGGCCTCATCCTCCTGAGACTGCCTGAAACCCCTGCTGATGCTGACTGGCATCTCCACCCCCCAGCACACGCACTACCCTCAGTTCAGTGGGCGCAGCTTCACAGGCCACTCGGGCCGAGGGCCGTTTGGAGACGCCTTGATGGAGCTGGATGCAGCTGTGGGGGCCCTGATGACAACCCTAGGGGACTTGGGGCTACTTGGAGAGACGCTGCTCATCTTTACCGCAGACAATGGGTACGACCCAGGGCCGGGGCCACTCCCTGCTTTGACATAGGCCAGGGCCTTGAGGTCCTTTCACTTTTGCTGCTGGCTGAAGACACTGTGAGGCTGGGGGAGGGGGTCTTAGGAAACGCTGGCCAAGTTAGGCTGGGGGGTGGGACAGGTGCACAGAGGTACTGGTCTCGGTAGGGCAGGAAGGCATCAGGCATTCGGAGCCCTATTTCTAACTTTGAAGAGTGAGGCTGATGGCATGAGGTCCTAGGCACCTCTGTGTTGATGATCTCCTTGTGTGTCCCAGGCCTGAGACAATGCGCATGTCCCGTGGCGGCTGCTCTGGCCTTCTGAAATGTGGAAAGGGAACGACCTTCGAGGGTGGTGTCCGAGAGCCCGCCTTGGCCTTCTGGCCTGGCCATATTACTCCTGGTCAGTTCTCTGACCCTGTCCTTGTGGACCTCTGACCCCTGAACCAACCTTGGTAAAGTGAGTGACCAAATAGCCTTCTGCCCCTAGGTGTGACCCATGAGCTGGCCAGCTCCCTGGACCTGCTGCCCACTGTGGCAGCCTTGACTGGAGCTTCGCTGCCCAATGTTACCTTGGATGGTGTTGACCTCAGCCCTCTGCTGCTAGGCACAGGCAAGGTAAGGCCATGACCCCTCATTCCCAATTACCCATGAGTGCTCACCCAGTGACCCCTCAATCCCAGTTACCCCATGAGTGTTACCACAGCACTTCTTGAGAGTCTGTGCCTCCCATCTCCTTTGGTGAGTAACCTTTGAGTTGGTACCACCTTTCATATTCCTAGGCAGGGAAGAGATGCACAGCTAATATCTACCACAAAGGCTGGCAGCTGTTAAGGGACCACTTCTATTCTGTGCCCCTCACTTTGACCCTAGAGTCCTCGGCACTCTCTCTTCTTCTATCCGGCCTACCCAGATGAGGTGCGTGGTGTCTTTGCTATCCGGAGCGGGAAATACAAGGCTCACTTCTTCACCCAGGGTAACATCCTCTTTCTAGCTCCCTCTTCCCAATCCCACTGGCCCCTGTAGCCCAAACCCTGACCCCCTCCTCTGGCTCTTGCCCTGTGCACATAGCTGACCCTTCCCCAGGCTCTGCCCACAGCGACACTACCCCGGACCCTGCCTGCCACGCCACTAACCCTGTGACGGCTCATGAGCCCCCCCTGCTCTATGACTTGTCTGAGGACCCTGGTGAGAACTACAACCTCCTGGACGGTACAACTGAGGTTTCCACAGAGGCTCTGATGGCAATGAAGGACCTCCAGCTGCTCAAGGCCCAGTATGATGCAGCCATGACCTTTGGCCCCAGCCAGATGGCCCGGGGTGAGGACCCAGCCCTGCAGATTTGCTGCAAGCCGGGCTGCCACCCCCATCCAGCCTGCTGCCACTGCCCAAATCACCGACCTTGAGGGCAACTGGCCAAGTCATTGGAGATTCCCCCCAAAGGCCAGTCCAGGGCCTCTGGCCCCATCTTGGGTGTGTGATAATTCACCATTATGAGGGGACAGGGGCAAGGGTGTGCAGATAGTTTGTATCTAATAATGTAATAACAGCAGCTGAGACTTGCAGGTGTGCTAATTCATCTAATCTTGGAAACTGTATGGTCAGTACTATTCCCCGCTGTTACAAACAAGGAAGCGGAAGCACAGGAAAGTTCAAGGCCCTGCCCAAGGTCATCCCACCAGAAAAGCTGTGCTGGGATTTGGCAGTACAAAGGTCTGAACTCGGGCCCTTGAACTTGCGGAGAAGGCCTTCTACCACTTGAGCCATGCCCCAAGCTGGGCTTAGACTTGAACCCAGGCATTCTGGCTCCAGAAGTTGCCCTTACCTGGTGACTGATGTGTGCACATTGAGTCAAAGGAAAAAGAAGTGCCTTTAGATGCTAGGAACCAGGAAGCTGGTGAGGGCAACTCAGTCCCCCAAGAGCTCGTCTCCCTGATGGAAGCATTCACAGGCTCTGGAGCTGCCCCCTTTGTTCTTCATCAGAGATCTATGTGGAGTCAGGTGGTGGTGATGTGCACATTCCAGGTAGGGTGAAGGGGTTTGGGCCCTGCTATCTCCTGGAAAGGCCTGTCAGCGAGTCCCATGGAACCTCCTCACACCTACTTACCACCAGACATTTTCTTTCAGACACACGATCTCTTTAAAACATCTTAGAATAAAATCGAAGCTCCTTTGCCTTGCCCCACAGCACTGTCCTTCAGGATGACCTGGCTTCCCTCCATACGCAGTGTTCTGCCACCTCGGCAGAAAAGAACCTTCTGCCTTCTGTGTTTGCTGGGACATAGCATGCTGACACCTGTCACATGCTCCTCAGTGTGTTGTCTAGGAAACTTGCCTTCTTTGCTAATGTGTCCCCACTTCATTGCCTCCTTGATATCAAGGAGGTAACCTCTCCCTGGCCCAGGAGTATCAGGCTAGTCACAACACAGTAACTGCTCTGGGCATGGCATGTGAAAATGATTCTTGGTAGTTAAAGTTCAGGTTGGTCCTCCATTGAGAACTTGGCTGCAACAGATATGTTGACCCTAGGAGGACACCTGCAGTTTCTAAAACCAGTGTCTCCCGCCGACCTGATTACAGGGTGCCAGGTTTAAGACAGTAAACCCGCCTGAGTACGCCACTGTTGGTGAGCTTGACAGCCATTTGCAGCTAAAGTGGTGTTGCAGAAAGGAAACCTAAATGGGGTAGGTAGGAAGCAGTTGTGCATGAGTGACCTCACATTACTCATGTAACTCTCCTGTCACTTTCAATCTGGTTGAGAAGCTGTGCTGACTACACCCCAAGTTCTATGTCTTGGCTGCCCCAAGACAGTTTCCTTGGGCACCTTCAGGAGACACTGATGGGGCCGAAAGAATTTATTAATGCAGGGACTGGCCCCAGCTAGTGCCTCAGTTCGGGTGAGGACAGAACAGGGTGAAGCAATTTGATCATATGCTATACTGACAAAACCAGTGAGTACCAGGCACAACCTGTAGGCGGCTTTTTCTGGTTCCTCACTGGCATAGAGTGCTGCAGTGCAGATCCTGCCATGTTCATCTGCTATTCTGCAGTGCCAGGGCAAGGAGTCCTTAGAAGAAACCCATCCTACTCTGTTCTTGCAGTGCTTAAGGTCTAGCAAAGGAGATGAGCTTAACCCCAGGAAATCAGACACATGGAATTTCAGTACAATGTAAGGGACATGAGGGAGCCTGGGGATGCTACAAGTATTCTGTATATTGGAGGTGGTAACCTGGAATAAAAGAAGCTATTCACTACTTAGGATTTGCATGCTGTGTGTGTTGTCGTATATTTTGTACTTCAGTAAAAAATCTGTGTGAAAGCACCAGAGGGGCCAGGCACCGATAGCTCACGCTATAGTCCTACTCAGGAGGCTGACATCCAAGTATCACAGTTCAAAGACAGCCCAGGCAGGAAAGTCTGAGACTTTTATCTTCAATTAACCACCCAAAAGCTGGTAGCAGAGCTGTGGCTCAAGTAGTAGAGCACTAGCCTGCACAAAGAAGCTCAGGGACAGCACCCAGGCCCAGGTCCAAGCTCCAGGACTGGCACAAAACAACTTAAGTTTTTAAAGTTGGAAAGGAAGAGTTAAGAGTTATGTGGTGGAGGTGGAGCAACAGATGAGTGGCCAGGAATACTTCCCTGTCAGCTAGTGTCTGAGGGATTCAAACTGCCCTCACACCCACAGTTGAATCTTTCCACCCTCCCACTTTTCTGACAGGCTCATGTACACACATGCATTTGTACACACACATGCATTATACATGCAATCAATAACATGTTATCACAGCCCCAAAGGCCATATCCAGTGTTTTCCCTGGGAGACCAATCCATTTACCAGGCTAGCTGCTATCTGTTCTGACAGACCAGTTTTGTCAGGGAGCCCAGTGTCTATCTGGATGGGGTTAAGGGTGTTTTAGAATGGACAGAACAAAAATACATTGTGCCTGGGGCTGTGAAGGTGGCTCAGTGGTACAGTGCTTGACTACATGCACGAGGCCCTGGGTTCAATTCCTCAGCACTACATAAGCGGAAAAAGCCAGAAGTGGTGCTGTGGCTCAAGTGATAGAGTGCTAGCCTTGATCTGAAGAGCTGAGGGACAGCGCCCAGGCCCAGAATTCAGACCCCATGACGGGGGTCGGGGGGGGGGACAAAACAAAAACCTTGTGACTGACTTTCCCTCAGGTATGTCAGGAGAAGGAGCTATGCAGAGCCCAACCATCCAAAAGGAGGGAGGCTACCCCTTCCTAGCCCTACCACCCCTTCCCACTCCTGTTCCTGAAATGACCAAAAGGGGGAGCAATGTTTAAGTTTGCCTCTTTTGTGAACTTTTTTTTTTTTTTTTGTGGAAATACTGGGGCTTGACCTCAAGGCTTTGTGGTTACAGATGCTTTACCATTTGAGAAACAGCTCTAGTACCTTTTTGCTTTTGTTATTTTTTAGACAAGATCTTTTTGCCCTATCTGGAGCAAGGATAGATATATCCCACTATGTCCACCTTCTGTTGATCTGAAGTCTTGATCTTCTTGCTCAGGCTGACTTTGAACCATGACCTCCTGATTTCTACCTCCTGAGTAGCTAAAATTAAAAAAGCTATCGGCACCTGGCTCTTTTGGAGGCCTCATGCACTCTTTTTCTCAAGTCTGATGCTCTACACCTTGACCCACACCTACACTTCAGTTTTTTGCTGATTAATTGGAGGTAAGTTTCACAAAATGGACTTTGCTGCCTAAGCTGGCTACAAACCACAAGCCTCAGATCTCACCTTCCCAAGTAGCTAGGATTACAGGTGTGAACCACGGGCAGCATTTAAATAATACTTCCAAGCTCCAAGTAGGTCATTTATCAAGGTGTGCGCAGCACCCTAGGTGAGCTGGCCCACACTTCTTAGGCTCACGCAGGAAGGACACAGGGTGCTGTGGCTATTGAGGCCTCCACGTGGTGAGCAGTGACGGACCCCAGCATGACTGCAGAAACCACCAAAGCCTCTCCCAAGTCCCAAGAACCCTGGGGCCCCCACGTCCCTCACCACTGGCAGCGCTGGACACCCCTTACAAAGAGCCAGGGTCACACCAAGCAGAGTTTATTGAGGCCAGGCCTGGCCCACATACACAGCGGGCAGCGCACACAGGGAGGATATGCACTGGACTGCAGGGGCGTTTGCGGCAAAGCAGACAATGTGTAGGGGGCGCCCAGTGGGCGTCCTCCTCCTAGCAGCATGAGGGGTTTGAGTGAGCATTAAGAACCACTTCCAGTGGTCCCAGAGCTTCCTTGGGCACCTCTCCCTGCTTCCCCTGTGCTCCCTGTGTGGCAGAGATGGGGTCCCTCTCTGTCCCTGTGTTCAAAGTTGGGGTGACCCCTTGAGATTCACTATAAAAATTCAAACTCCCTTATAAATTACAGAGGAGGGCAGGAAGGGATCACTGGAGAACCTGACTACCAGTCACCTCAAGTTTTCCACACGCCCCAAGTTCTGACCCTAAAGGAGAGTGCAAAGGGTAAGGTCTGCAGGCACGGAAAGGGGCAAGAGACAGAGGGGAGGAGAGGGAGGCTGGGGAACAAGGTGACTGAGGACAATGGAAAGGATGCATCAGAGGGAAACCTGGGGCACTGGAGACCCGCTCCCCAGCAGCCTCACAGCCGTGCCCTGGGAATGGAGGGGGAAAGCTCCAGGCCTGGAGCTCTCCTATGACATAAGGTACTGTGTGTCCCCAATCCAGTCCTTGCCCAGCCCACAGTGGCCAGAGCTTCCTCCCACTACTCCAGGTAGATGTCTTCTGTGGGGCAAGCAAACGCCAGGTGCTCCTGGTAGTATTCCAGGAAGGCGCGGCTGTGGAGAGGGGTGGAATCAGTCCAATGCTCCCTTCTGCCTCTACCCAGCCAGGTAACACCCCTCTGCCCAAAGACCTTGTCAACACCACAGCATCTTTTGCACTCCACAACAGTGCCCGAACTGTCGACTGTTACCCCCAGGATCCTCCCCCACCTTCCCACTTACCCGACACTCTGCGCTACTGGTCTCATGGACTCCTGAGACACAAAGACGTGGCAAGCAAAGCGGCTCAGCAGCGGGTGTTTGGTGATGAACCCGAAATAGCTGTGGGAAAGTTGGTGGAGAGAACGTCAAGAACACTGACCCAGCCCTGGGGGCCCCCTTAAAGACCTGGAGAGCAGAGGCAGGAACAAAGAGGTTGTGAAGAAGGCAGGAGACAAGAGTATGAGGGCCAATTTCAAAATCTTAAATTGTCTTTTGGGGTTGCAGCCCAAGCAGGGGGGTGGGCACCCGAAAAGAGCACTAGAGTTCTTTGTCAATTCCTCAAACAGGGGCCTCTATCTTATACTGGAGTCGGAGGCATCGTTTTCCCTTCCCCACCCCAAGACTCTCAGAGCCTCTCCCAAGAGCACTGGACATTGTTCTGAACAGCTCCCCTGGCTCTGCCTTGCTTAAGGCTTCTGTGAGCCCATCCATCTCTGCATCTGGTCATACAAATACAGCTGTCTTTTGAGCTTGGATAGTGCACTGGGTACCAATGCATCTGTAAAAACCCTTTGGATTCTCTCTCTCCAACTGGAGAAGCACCGTGCCTAGCACTCCTGCAACTCATCCCTTCCCATGTTCCCACATGTGTCTCCATTCCTTCCAAGACACTGAGCAACTAGAGGTAGTCGGTCCACAACCTGAGATTCCACCTCTCTCCCCATCCTGAGTAACGATAGTTACTAAAGCACAAAAACTCACAACCACATCATGGAATAGGTGTCTTTTGATAGAGGGCTAAGCACAGAGGGACAATATTCTACCCAAGGACACACAGCCAGTCTGTGGCAGCAATGGAGTAAGTGGCTCTTGGATCTTCCAAACACAGCACATCCAGACATGACTGAATCGTCATCTATTTCACAAGAAAGTGAGTTAACCAGACACTTAGCACTGATTCCTTAGTCTCCTCATGGAGGAAATAGGCTGGGTTCTGAAGCACATCTTGACCCTAAACTACTTGCCTGGATCATCTTTCTCCCATGGATTTGCAGATGGGTCAGTGGTTACCTTGGAGCGCTGAGTGTGGCACCAGGATTTAATTTTATCTCCTGACAGTGTCATTCCTGACTGTCCTTGTGGCTTCGGTGGATGCTCCCACAGTCTGGCCCGAGCCCTGGCACTGACCTGGCATCTACCCCTCAGAGCAGCTCCCTCCTCAATGGAAAAAAGCCAAACTGCATGTAACCATTTCCTAGACAGCAGGTCGCCATGCCACTGTTCATGCTTGAGTCCAAACCACTCCTGTGACACCTTTAATACCTGTTCCAACTCTCAGCCCTGGAAATACCCTAACTACCCTGCACCCTACCTGCTGAGTCTCTCTAGCTCCTGAAGATCATTTGTAACCTCTGCTTGGCCCTGTCTCTGGTTCTCCTCTCTCCTTTATCTAGGATGCTAGGACCCAGTGGGCAAGAATCTGTGCCTAGGGAAGATGGCAGCCCCCTACCACCTACTCCCACGCTTCATCTCACACTGCCTGGCTATTTTTTGTACCTCATGATCTCAGTTATCTGGTCCAAAATAAAACCTTCTTCCAGGGGCTGGGAATATGGCTTAGTGGTAGAGTGCCTGCCTACCATGCTTGAAGCCCTGGGTTTGATTCCTCAGTACCATATACACAGAAAAAGCCAGAAGTGATTCTGTGGCTCAAGTGTGGCTCAAGGCTCTAGCCTTGAGCACAGAGAGGCTCAGGACAGTGCCCAGGTTCCAAGTTCAAGCCCTTGGACCAACAAAAAAAAAAAAAAGAAAAAAACCTTCTAGTCCTCCCCTCTGAACCTCAGATGACTGTATGGCTGGGCTTGTATCTCTTCTGCTCCTGTCTGCCGATCACCCAATTGAGTATTTCCACTGATTCCTTCCAGGTCAGCCTCTGCAACCTATCAACCTAATCTTTTCTGTCCCACCTCTTTTTTTTTTTTTTTGTCGGTCATGGGGCTTGAACTCTGGGCCTGGGCACTGTCCCTCAGCTCTTCAGCTCAAGGCGAGCGCTCTACCACTTGAGCTACAACGCCACTTCCGGTTTTCTAGTGGTTTATTGGAGATAGGAGTCTCACGGTCTTTCCTGCCCGGGCTGGCTTTGAACCAAGATTCTCAGATCTCAGCCTCCTGAGTAGCTAGGATTACAGGGGTGAGCCACCGGCGCCCGGCTTCTGTCCCACCTCTTAAATACCTACCATCTATATACTTCCCATCATGAAACCACACCTAGATTTCTCATCAGCCACCTAGTCTCCTTTGGCAGCAGCTGATCAATGCACTATACACAGCAGCCAGGGCTAGCTAGCAGCCTGCCCAGATCATTTCCTTCCACCAGGACCTTTCTGTGGTTCCACAGCCAATGGAACGATGCACAAGCCCCTTGGCAGTCAAAAGGCCCAGCCCTCTACTGACACTTTTGTTCTCCATTGTCCCGGCTTCTTCCCTTATGCCAGTGTATCCCACAGCCTTGGCTTCCATGGCTGCCTACAAGATGATTCACTTCTTCCATCTCTATTACCATCTTTATCATTTTGTAACCTCTTATTTTGTGGGTCTGCTCAGGAGGCTCATTCAGAAGATGTCTGACCACCTGTAGATGCTGCTTCTTTTTCTTCTTCTTCTTCTTCTTCTTCTTCTTCTTCTTTTTTGTCGGTCATGGGGCTTGAACTCTGAGCTTGGGCACTGTCCTTGTGCTCTTCAGCTCAAGGCGAGCACTCTACGGCTTGAGCCACAGCACCACTTCCAGTTTTCTAGTGGTTTATTGAAGATAAGAGTCTCACGAACTTTCCTGTCCGGGCTGGCTTTGCACCGAGATCCTCAGATCTCAGCCTCCTGAGTAGCTAGGATTACAGGCGTGAGCCACTGGCGCCCGGCTTTCTAGCTGCTTTTTAAACTTTCTTGACTGTGTGTCTGTCTCCCTAACCAGGCCGGATGGGAGCCAGTTTGATTCATGTCTCCCAAACCCAACATAGAATAAGCACTATGTTAGGTGCAGATGGAGTCCTGGATGATGGGTGGGAATTGGAATGCAGGTAGCCCTTAGGGTTTGAGGACCTGGGGGAGGGGGGCAAGTAAGGTTCTTACCAGCTGTTACGAGGGTGACAACCGCAGAACGAGATGTTCTTCATCTGAAAGAAGTGGCTGCAGCGCTGGAACTAGGGCAGAGGTGGACAGAGACATCGTGGGTCGGACTGAGGAAGCCTGTGGTCTTTCTTGCTGCCTGCCTGCCAGCCTGTCCCGCAGCCAAACCCTCTTGCCTTGCCTTACCCCATGCCCCCAGTTCCCCACACCCCCACCTCAGGCCCTCCTCCACTCAGACTCAGCTTGACCCCCCGCAGAGAGATCTCAAGGTCACAGGAGGCAGGAGGGCGCAGGTGAACAGTCAGTTTCCGGGCAGTGGCAATCTGAGGAAGAAATTGGGAAAGAAAGTCCTCAAGAGCCTGCCATAGCCCCTGCCACCCTCTCTCCTCGGAAGAACTACACCTCTGTTCACTTCAGACTAGTTGAGTATGTCTGGCACCCAAGATCCCTAAAAGACAATTCTGGAAGATGACAGGGTGACCTTGGCTAGCCCTGCAATAGGAACAAGCCAGTCACGCCACTCTGCACTCAGCTGGCTTCCTCGCCCTGTGTCCCTCCAGCCAAGAGGCTCCTCTTGGCTCAGGTGCCAAGAACCCACCCCAATCCTACCTCCATCCCTCTCACTGCCTGTTCCTCACAAACTAATGGGGGCTCTAGGATGCAGGGTGAGCATATCCCTCTAGCCTCAGTCCCAGACCACCCAGACTACTACAAGTACTCATAAATGTTCACTGTGTGGATGAATGCGTAGGAAAATATCTCCCAGGAAAAGGGCTGTGACATCTGCTCTCAAACTTTAAACAAACAGGAGAAGACCAACAGAAAGGTGAAGACCCTACTGGCCTAGTCAGGAGGCCTGGCCAGTCTGTCTGCTCAGACCTTTGAATTAGGGTGTCCACCTATGACTCATCCCTACAGCACCACCAGCATCGTCCCTGAAGAGTTGGAGGCTGGGCCACCAAGAAGCTGTGCTAACCTGGAGGCCTTTGTGCAGGCCTTAGGCTAGGCCTGCCCCACACCACTACACTCACCTTCTGCATGGCTGCACACAGGATGCCATTACCCTGGTGACACGGCACCTCCACAGAGCCCAAGAACTGTACATCGAAGCGCTCTACCCAACAGGGGCTCCGTTTGCTCCCTAGGAGGTCACAAGGGCCCAGATCAGGGGTGACGGGTGGAAAGTTTGAGTGACAAACCATGCCTCAGGGACGGGGGGGGTCTCACCTAGCAAGTCCTTGGCAGGGCCAGGCACTGCATGGGCATAGAAGGCAGGGAACACACCACGCTCTCCTGTGCGCATGTTGAAGCCACGGAACCAGAAGTCATCCTCTTCAGCCTCTACCAACACTGGGTCATCCACATCTAGCTCCAGCTCATCCGGATGACGAGGGATAAACCTGAGGTAAGGCAGAGTAAGCCTGGCTGGATTGTGTCCCAGTGTCCTGTGGTATTGTGAACTAAGGCTGAGGACCACCCGGGTCAAGGGAGCAGCTATACCTGAAAACAGCCCGGTGAGTCTGCTCTCTTTCCTCCCCATTGACCAGACAGGAAAAAAGGCCAAAGGACTCAGTGCCTAAGAGACCAACAGAAGCAGCAAAGATGGAGACTCAAGGGGAAAGGAAAGTACTTGAAGTCCTAACTTTGGCTGCAGCCAAGCCCCCTCCTCCCCAACAGGCTGGTGCAGGGTATTCTAAGTCAGGAAGGGAGGGAGGGCCAGCCACTAGGGACTGGGACAGAGGAGCATCCCCCAAGTCTCTGCCCAAAGAGGTGCCTGGGGAGGACTGATGCTCCTCTTTCTTCTTTTTTCTTAGGAAAAAAGTCAAGGTTAAGCTGTGACTACTCCCAGGCCCACAGGTCTCCTGGGCATTTTGGGGACCAGTGGGACCTGAGACTGGAGCAGTACTTTTTCCTTTGGGGCCACCCAGCTTTCCCCAACTCCCACTCACTAGAAGATCGAGATGTACTGTTGACAAAGACGTTGAGGAACTTCTTAGAGAAGGTGATGTCTGGGCTGTCGGGAGACACATCTTCAGGGATCTGATCGCCACCTAGAAGTGCAGCGCCCACCTCCTCCTCAGCGGCCTCACCACCACTGTCCTCCTCGCTGTCATCACCCAGGCCCGCACAGCGCCGCAGGCTCACCAGCTCCAGCTGTGTGTGCTCATCTACCACCAGTGTGTACTTGACTGCATCATACACCAGTGATGCATCCAGTGGCGCACTAGAGCCTGCACCCCTGCCCTGGGGGAGCCCCACACTGTCCTCGGGACCGTCTTCATCCTCCTCCTCCTCCTCCTCTTCCTCCTCAGAGTAGGCAGCAGAACAGGCACGGCCTGGGCGAGCAGCTCGGCCAGGCGTGGTCCACAGGGGCGTGATGGTGTCTCGCGTTGGGTTGCTGAGGAAGAGGCAGGGCCCAGGCTGTGCTGAGCCTGGCCGAGGCGTTGTGGGGGCCGGCGGTGGCGGCCCGCACAGCGTCTCCATGTCCACCAACTCCACACCAGGGCCTGTTGCCGCTTCAGGGGCTTGGGAGTCCTCTGTGGCTTTGCTGGCCAGGGACAGAGGCTCCCCAGGCAGGCGCTGCGCGGGAGACAGGCACTGGCCAGGACAGCGAATGGGGGAGGAACCCTCAGAGATCATGCGGCTCACCAGGTTGCTGAGCAGCCAGGGTGAGTCGGCATCCTCGCTGAGATCTGGCTCAGACTCGGAGCCGGACTCATACTCGCTGTTTGTGTCTTCAGGGCCCACAGGCAGGAAGGCGGGACGGCGAGGAGGTTCTTGCAGGGGCTCAGGCTCTGGCTCTGAGGCTGGTGATGAAGCCTCCTCAATGGAGTTGGTGAGGTGCGAGGAGCGTCCACTGCTGCTGCTGCTACCACCATCGCTACTTAACTCCAGCTCAGTTTCCGAGATAGATGAAATCATTCGCCCCAGGCGCCCTCCACCAGTGTCCTCTGAGTCTGAGCCAGGGGATGAGAGCTCCTGGCTGCTCCGCCGTCCGCCGTGGTCCCCACTTGAGGGGCTTCTCAGGTCGGCCTCAATGCCAGGATCAGAAGAGGGTGAAGCCCCAGCTGGCGCTGGGGGGCCCGGGGGCGGGTTCCCTTCCCAGTCACAGCCTGGGCACGCCACAGGCTGCACCCCACGGGGTTCCTCTTCTGTGGGCAGGAGGGGGCCAGGGAGCTCTGCAGGGCAAGGGTTCCAGTTACCTTCACCTCCATCCTGTCCTCTCTCCAGCAGCCAGCACCCTCCCTCCTACCAGTGCCCCTGCCAGCCCCACCCCTCACCTCTGAGGGGTTCCTGAACTGGCGAGCACAGTACAGTCTCCTTCCAGGAGGCTGGGGCCTCTGGAGCAAAGCCTCCATTGTTGTTCAGAGAGTCCTAGGATGAGGCACAAAACAGCAATGCTGAAGAGGGTTTCAGCAACCAAGAGTGGGAGGGGCCTGAAGCCATGGGGTGCGGAGTCTAGGTGCTGCTGAGCAAGGATCAACTCTAAAATTCTGAGAATCAGGAGGCTCACCTGGGCGCCCAGTGTTGTCAGATGGAGGGTGGTGGGCCGGTGCTTGTGGGGCTCCTCCAGAGCAGGGGAAGGAATAAGGGGCCCCTTGTCAGGGGCCTCTGTATGAGCTCCTCCTACCTCTTTCCCCTCCCCATCTCCCTCCTCCTCTTCATCTTCCTCCTCCTCATCTTCCTCCTCTTCCTCTTCTTCATTGTCATCTATCATCTCAAACTCCTGGAAGTCATCCTGGAAGGAGCAGATGGGATGCGCCTGCTCCGAGCGCCCCAAGGAGAGGCTGTCCTGCAAGGAGGGAGAGGGCAGGGCTGGCCAGAGAGCAATAGGAATCTGGGTCCCACTCGGCTTCCAGCAACCGAGCAGTGTTTTTAAAAATCTGCGGAAGACTCCTGGGGATCACTGCATTTCCTTTTTTTGGGGGGGGGTCTGGTCGTGGGGCCTGAACTCTGGGCCTGGGCGCTGTCCCTCAGCTCTTCAGCTCAAGGCTAGCGCTCTACCACTTGAGCTACAGCGCCACTTCCGGCTTTTTTCTTTTTGCTTATGTGGTGCTGAGGAATCGAACTCAGGGCCTCAGGCATGCAAAGCAAGCGCTCTACCACTGAGACACCTTCCCAGCCCATCACTGCATTTCCTGTGGAGAAGCCAGACTCCTGAAAAGGAATGGCTGATCCTCAGAGCGGCCTCAACTCACTCCTAAACCCCATCACATAAACACATAATTCACACTGCTCATGACTTTTGGTCTGTCTTCTCCACCAAGGAAGAGTCATGTCCCTGTTGTACACATCCCTGGGAACAGCATTTGCAGCTTGGTGGATGTTCAGTAAGTAACAAATGAATGCATGAGAGGATTCACCAAGTTTGTACCAACCCAGGGCCCTTGGCACAGTCAATCATTCCTTCTGCCAGCAATTCCTCTCCTATCTACCCCATCTGCTTAGCTCCTGCTAACCTCAGGACATGGCTGACATTTTCTCTGTGAAGTCTCCTGACTCCCTCAGTCTGGATCCAGTTCTCTTTCCCCTTACACCAGCCCATGAAATTTAAGTAGCCACTCTCCCTGACATGTGTTTCTCCCCTAAGCTGCAAGATCTGCTGGCAGCGCTCCATCCCCAGCACTTAACCTGGCAGTGTTTGGGAATAGAACGCATAAAACAGAAAGGGGGGACGACACTGGCGCAGGAGAGGAAAGATGTGAGGAACGGAAAGGAGGCAGAGGTTCAGATGTAGTTGGAAGGGTTAAGTCTTTATGGGAGGAATCTGAGGACAGAGGGCCCCAGAGCCAAGGCATCCCTCCCCAGGAGGGCCGGGAAGATGTACTGGAGAAGGCCCTCTAGGGGGCCTGCGGTGCTGGCAGAGGACGGAGGCCCAGGAAGCCTCAAGGCCACGGGCTCACAGCAAGGGCGATCGGGGCTTTCCCCGCACACCGGCGAGGCACCCAAGTGAACATCAGACAAAGGGCCTGAGCGGCCTCTTCTCTGGTGGGATCTGGACCCGGCCTTTCCCTACCTTCTCACAGTGGTCTGAGTCGTAGCTGAGGCCCAAGCCACAGTCGTCAGTGATCTCTGACAGGTCCTCATCATCAAATTCTTCCAGGCTTATATCCTGGGGGGGCCTGGAGAGGGGGCCGGGGTCAGAGCGGCCGACCCCGGGCCCCCACCCGGGGCGGGTCCGAAAAACACCGGAAGGGGGTGGCCGGCCCACAGGCCGACTCCACCGCGACCCCGGCCCCGCTACCCAAGGGAGCCTTGCGGGGCGGCCCGGGGGACCCGCCCTTCCCCCA